CTTCCGACAAATTCGAGAAACACCAGGAATGTTAGAGAGAGTAACCAGATGAATGACAAGACGCGTGCAGGCTTGTCTTCAAATGCAAGCTGGTCATTTCGAGCACCATTTTTTAAAAGTAATTAAAACGGAAAATTCATTACATCTCACAAACGAAGACAGATAGGACATATATTCATATGACTTTTTTTCATTATTTTAGGCGTGACAATTAGCTCCCGAAGTGAGTACCACAAGTTACGAAACACCCTGTATATACAGTATTTTTCGCTTGACGCGTATATACCTTCGCGAATGGCACTGCACGTTGATTAAATTATCGAGCTCGAGTTTCCTTTCGGCGTACCGTATTTTACGATCGCTCGGCGACCGGATTTATCTCTGCCGAGTGTAAATTACTGGAAAATCACACTGGACACACGTACGAATATCGTATTCCCTATTTCGTTCGGAACGAACGATTAATCGGCTAGGTTGCAGAGAAGAGCAGGCGTAATATCGGGTCAGAAGGAAGTAACAACGACAGCGTGCATTCTGTTTAATGCGCCCTAACGGTGTAAATCGTACTCGACCACTAAATTTCCCGCGTATTTATTAGCCCGACGCGTAATGTGCCAGAATCTGGCTATTTATAAGGCAGCTATTTATCCGGCCGAGCCATTCGATTTCCGCTTTCCTCCATCTTTTTTAACATCCAGCTTCTTCTAATCGAGGTACAGGCATGTGTACAGTCGCTCACTACAAAATATTTGTAGTACTAATCAAAGTATTTATCACGAAACACTTTTGCACTGTGCGAAACTTTCATTGGCAGTGGTAAAAATCAATCTTTGTACATGAACGTGGCGATCTTGCTAACATTGAAAGCTTCCTAACGTGCTTGTTGAATTTTGTCGTTTAAATAATTCTATTTAACTTTCGTATATAGCGAAGAGCACTAACTATACCACCAGTGACAACGAAAAATTGTCGGTTTGAACGGATGTAACTTCGAGTAAAAGGAGATCATGTGAAGATCCACTTGGTCTCATTTTAAAGCACGTAGGGTCTTTATTTTGAAGATAGTGAGTTTTTTTTTTTTTCTTTTTAGAAAGAAAACAAAGGTGCCTTTTTTTTCATCAAAAATTGTCGAAATTCAAACAATTAAAAAAATTTTTCTCGACGAGCGACTAAATCCACCATGGTGTTGAAGATCCAAATTTTCTCTTTACAACAATCACTTAGAACGCGCTGTATGATTTTTCTTTTCCAGAAGTTAAAAGTTAAATGACGAAATGTTAGGATTTCTTGAATTTTCGTTACGACAAGTTTTAAAAAAGGAAAAACTTCGATCTTCAATGATTCAGTTATGAAAAAATTTCTCAATGTTTTTACACGTGTTTGAATTTTTACAATTTTTCAAGAAGAGGTATTCTTTCTCACTCGACTCGTGATATAAAGTCATGGAAAAAAACAGCCAACGACTGTCAAAATAACATCAAATAATTCTCTCAAAGTTACATCAGTTTAAAAAATCATCGACAATTTTTCACTATCGTCGATCACAGTTATTCTTTTGCCCCGAATATGCACACTTTCCGATTTTCCGTGTCTCTGTCTTTCATACGACATAACATGTTCGCGAGCAAAATTTCCATAGGTGTACAGACACTTTCGCGCGTTGAAACAATGCAGTGAAATCGATCGTGATCCCCGGAATGAAACGGAGACTCGCGTGGAAAAAAGGATCATCCCCGTGGCATCCGTAAATGAAAGAGGGCAATGATTTATGACCCGGTTGGTCACAAGTGATATACGAAGCAGACTTTCTGGAAAGGAAACGAATTTCTCGAGAAGAGGAAGACAGATAGAAGCCACGAAAGTACTTGCAGTCGGTTCGATAAAAAAAAAAAAAAAAAGAAAAAAAAGAAAGAAAGAAAAAGAAAAAAAGTCCATCTTAGCGTGCCCGTATCGCTTCGAATCGTCGACGATCCTCAAATGGAAAATTTGTATTTGGCCCGTCGAAAACGGAGACGGGCGCAGAGACGTGGCCGATAATATTGATTTCGTATTAACGAACGTCGATATACAGACAAGTTTGTATCGCGACGACCAGCCTGGCTGACCCTCGACAAATACTGCCCGTCGTTCGCGTTTCCACATCGAAATCAATTTACTCGTTTGCGGTATTACTTTCGTTCGTCGATTCGTCGATCGGAAGAAAGAGAGACAGACACGAGCCGAGCGACGACGAGGAACTTCCGTGGATTTTCGGCAACTTCCGGCTGATTCTCATCCATCTGTTAACGATCGTTGCAAATTTCGGAAATCGCGAATCTCGATGTGTAATCTGCTTGAGGCAGTTTCGAATAGTTTGCTATCTGTTTTCAGAAACGTGCGAGAAACACATCGTATTCGATAGATTTTAGTTAGTACTCTTTTAAACCGTTGTATTTTAATTTTAACAGTAAGGTGCAATTGATCGTACGATATCACTGCTGGACAGATTGGGTTGAGTCATAAATAATTTCCGTTTTCAGTAAAACAACTTTCAAAACGAACAACAATCGTGCCCAAATCCAATCCCTCCGTTTCAAGGCTGAGGAATTTATTATTTAATTTCCGATGCGTGTACGTTGCTAGAAGCCACTGCTAGAAAGTAATAAGACTAATAATACTTATTTACTGCTAACACGATATTTGATGAGTTGTTACAATTTGTCCCCAAAAAACGAAAATGATTTATAACTCAGTGCAATTACAGCTGAACTAGATCGTCGAGTCAACCGAAAATTCTCACCCTCGAATTTCTCTTTCCGCTAAATTCGAATGTTCGTCGAAGCTACTGCAACTAGTTGATGATGAATCGTTGTGAAATTATGTGAAAAGATCACTGATTTTCTGTTTCCGAATACGGTAAAAAGGACGTTCGTAGTGGTTCGTGTCGAGGCAGAGTGATCGAAATATTATATTAATTATTGAGATATCGCTGTTCGTCGGTGACGAACAAAGTTCGTGGCCGTTTGCACGCAACACGGCAGTTGGCGACAAAGTATCCCGCGACACGGCCGAATTTTCCCGATATATATCGTTTCGATATCAGTGGAAGTTGCTCGGTCTCGCGGAAACTTGGTCTGTTTGCTTCTAAAACTTCTGGAACACGGTGAAATTAAACATTTACCCTCGGTTGCATACGGCGCGCTGTTCCACCGTGTACGTATAAATATTTATCAGGAGTAGCTGGCTGTAATCCCCCCCGCGAAACGGATGCTCCGTGAATATGAATGGCGATAATCGCGTGCACACTATTGTACCGTGCTCTCCGCGTAAACAGAGGCGTCTGTTTTCATTCATTGATATCCACCATAGAAAATCGATACCGGCATTCGAATTTCGCGAATCTAGCCGCGACAGCGCGGAATGTTTCAAAATACCCTGTTCGTCGATCTTTCGCGCTTTTTTTATTTCAGAGAGAGAAAGAGAGAGAGAGAAAGATATTCAGCACACTAGTGAAATATAGAGTGGGTCAAAGGTTTCCTATTTTTTTTTAATATTAATATTTTTTTATATTAATTATTCTATATTATATTAATATTTTTTGATATTAATTATTTTATATTATATTAATATTTTTTTTTATATTAATAAAACATCAAAATATAAGAAGAAACTAATTTCGCTAGTTTTAAAATAAATTCAAGTTCGAACGAATCATTTTTTTTACTATGTTTCGAAAGTTATTTCTTTCAAATGTTGACCACGCCAGAGCGTTTGCAAATAATATGACAATTACGGACTTATTTCACTACATCTTTTAGACGGAAGATTTTTAGATTTAGGATGAATTTGTAAGCGGCAGAAGACACAAGTGTCCGAAATCCTGTGGAAACTAAAATTTCGAAATTTCAGTTTGGGTATTTCATTCAGACTTGTGGCGTCGGTTAGTAATGGACAGATTATTAACCCGGCAGCACACGCACGCGGAATGACCTGATCGAATTAGATTATAACCTGTACGATTATAAATATTTTTTCTCGGATATTACGATATTCGTACACGTCTTCACAGACGTAACAAAGGAATATAAAACGCACGTTTCATATCGTACATTAGTGAAATATAGAGTAGGTCAAAGGTTTCTTCCCTATTTTTTTGATATTAATTATTCTATATTATATTAATATTTTTTGATATTAATTATTTTATATTATATTAATATTTTTTTATATAAACATCAAAATATAAGAAGAAACTAATTTCGTTAGTTTTAAAATAAATTCAAGTTCGAACGAATCATTTTTTTTACTATGTTTCGAAAGTTATTTCTTTCAAATGTTGACCACGCCAGAGCGTTTGCAAATAATATGACAATTACGGACTTATTTAAAATAAATGTTACTTTTCCCTGAAGAATACTTTCACTCGCGTGTATAAACTGATCAAATGACGCCTGTCCGAATGTTTGTCATTCACAAAGAGATCACACGTAATTCCAATTAACGATTCAACACTTTCAATGAGAATATCGCTGTTAGAAAGCGCGATAAAACCAGAAAAAGAGTCGTCTCGAGGAGAATAAAGAACGATATGTACGGAAGATAGCGGATGAAACGGTGACGTCGTAACGACCGAGTAGAAAACTGTTCGGTTAACATGCAAATGTGACGGAGATTTCCTAATGGCCGCGTGTTTGCATCCTAATTGGCAGGGGGGGATGGGAGGGTTGATATAGGAACTGTGGAGGATCGACGGCGAAGATATTAATGGCGCCTCGTATTTCTCTGTTTCAGGTGTGATGGAGCCTCGTGGAGCCGGCTTTTACTATGAGTTGAGGCCCCGTAATTAATTGTGAGTATCCACGATTCTCTCCTTTGCTCCAATCTTCGACGTCGTTCGTATAAGATACGCCGCGACGCTCGCGCGTGCAATCGATTGTCACACCATATATTCGTTCGCATGTGCGAAATTGAAAAACTCGTCACGATTCACGTTTAACGTTTGAAAAATTGAAAATTCTTCCTTCCCCTCTCTCGAGCTTGAAACTCGGAGAGATTAATCACGAATGAATAAACCGTCTCCCCGAGGTTAAGAGAAAGAAGGAGATCGATAGACTGCGGAGCGTTTATTTCTTTCAAGAATGCACGCGCTGCAAACGTAATAAAAACAACTTTCTTTCCTCTCTTTCTATAAAAAGCACGCGACACGTTAAAGTTCGAGCCCCAGTCTCACCACCGACAACAAACGCATCTACTCGTACGATTAATTAACAACTTGTCAAAGTATTTACAACAGAGTGTGTTTGCGTACACGCAACGTCGAGCGCGTTGAGAGATTATGTAAATTAATGGAACCTAAATAGGAACTTGTTTCACCTACTAGACATTATAACCAGATATTTTATTCATTTCCTCCGCGCCTTTCAGCTACCGCAAACATCCGTGGCCTATTAATTACCGCTTCAGCAAGTGTTATAATTGATATTTATCTCTTTCGAAACGTCAAGCCGTCTATACGTTTAGCAAGGAAATTCCTCATCTTTCCGCGCACGTTCGCCCGTGCGATGGAAAGGCAATTTTTGCGCAATGATCCTTTTCATTACGGTGGATTTAGCTAGAGTCCGCTAGGAGAGTCAAGGTCCACGGACTGTTGCGGACATCCAAGTTCACGGGGGCCGTGAACGTCCAACTAACTAAGCAACCTTTCTCTTCGCCCTTGGATTATGCGCGTAGCATTGAACCACGCGGTGTAATTATCGGTTCAAGAACGCAGCATTGTTCGTGACAACGACGACCTGTGTGCCGCCTCTCCGCTCGCGGCTCTCTCCGGTTAGTTTTCATTTCGCGTTCAGAAGAAACGTCCACTCTTTATTCGCCTCTCTGCCGCTCCGATGATTTATTTATGACTGTTACTCGACGCGAGAAACGACGAGAAGAACGTTCTCCTCGCGTGACCACGGTGAAAAACACTGAATTCAGTTGGAATTTCACTGTGCGCCTCCACGCAAAAATCCCCCATTGATGAGAACGCGATGAAAAGCTTGACCCGACTGAGAATTAATGACGCATCTGGCGTCGCGCGTTATTCCAAAGGCCAAAATAACCAGCGGGTCCACGTTCGTGGCAGAATACTCTCGGTGGAACTGGCCTCGCGTTAGCAGTTGGGAGGTTAAATCTACGAAAACGATGGTTCTTTGAAGAGATAACGGCGGGTGGGTGGTGGGGGGGAGGGAGGTGGAAGGGGATGGAAGAAGGAAAATCCAATTATTTCCCTTTATCGTGTAGCCCCTTCCCTCTACGTGTAGCTTGTTCGTCGAAACGCTGAAACCCAGCTCTTTGCAAGCTAAATCCAAACCGCGTAGTTCGGGCGCGCGTTCCGAGCTCTGGCCGGTCCGCTGGCGCACGCACGATCGCTCATAATCGCAGGTAACCCGAGCAATACACACATAGAGGAGAGTCGATGCATACACACACACACCGAGAGAGAGAGAGAGAGAGAGAGAGAGAGAGAGAGAGAAATCGTGTGGCAGCAGGCAACAGCAGCAGCAGCAGCAGCAGAAGCGGCTGCTCTCGACGGAACCGGATCGCGCGGGTGTGTACAGCGCGACCGATGCACACAGAAGAGAGAGAGAGAGAGAGAGAGAGAGAGAGAGAGAGAGAGAGAGAGAGAGAGAGAGAAGAGACCGGGCCAACACACCGAGCCGAGTGGAAGCGTACGAAAGTCCCTGTTAGCGACGCTCTATGCCCTATAGCATCCATATAACCGTCGTATTCGTGGCTGTTAGGGGTGCACAGAGCGAGAGAAACAGGGACAGAGGGATGACGGAGGTTAAAGAAGAAAGATAGAGAGACCGCGATAGGAAACGCGCGCGAGAGGGACGGAGAAAGATATAGATAGAACCAACGAGCAAAAGGACATGAGATAGAGAGAGCGTGAGAGAGAGAGAGAGAGAGAGAAGTCGAGGGATGGTTTTGCTCTGGTGGCTCTGTATTGATTGCTACTCCTCCTCCACTTCCACCGCCTCCTGCGACCACATCTCTCGTTCTCTCTTTTTCTCTCCCTGGATTCTCTCTCCGGTCGCCGTGCTCTCCGAGCGTTGCCTGTATATTTCTCCTTCTACGCGTACCTGTCTCTTTTTTTCCCCCCTTTTTCTGCGCCCCCCTCCTCGTCCCGTTGCCTCGTTCGTTCGCCAGCGTTCACCGCCACCCTTCGTTCCATCTCTGTCACCCTCTGCCTCTCCGCTGCTTCGTTCATCCGTCCCTGTCCCTCTGGCCGTTCTTGCCGGCCCGGTCTCTCCTCTCTCTCTCTCTCTCTCTCTCTCTCTCTCTGTGGCCCCGCACACCGACGCACCTCGTAACGTCGCCTCAGCTACGCGAAACCATCAAGATCCGTGGTCCTCGTTGCCACGTATATCCTAACGAACCTCTCCTCTCTCCTCTCTCCTCCACCTCTTCCAACTACCCTCATACTCATACCCTATTTGCTTCTTTATCTTTCTCTCTATCTCCTCTGTTTCTTGTTTCTCGTTGTTCTCCTCCTCCTTCTCCTCCTTCTCCTCCTTCTCCTCTGTGGAGAACCGGCCAAGTTCGTCTGTAATTGACGCAGATGCGGCAACCAGGCAGAGAGAGAGGAGAGAGAGAGAGAGAGAGAGAGAGAGAGAGAGAGAGAGAGAGAGGATACCAGAGACCGGTGACAGCAGCTTCGACGGCGGAAGCGCAATTCTTTGCGCTCCGCGTGGAAATTGATCGAACCAGAGCCGATGTCTCTGTAGAGGGGCAAAGCTGTCTGGCATCTGTGCGAGAGATGACTCGTTACCCACGGATAACGACAAGTTTCCTTCTTGCCTTTAAGCCGTCGTCCCGTTTTCGTTGCGTGTTTTCGGTAAATTGAGAGTTGGGTGGATTAAAATATTGGTTAGAAATCTTTTCTTGGACGTTGGTCAGTACAGAATGTTGAGATAATAATCCTTTGAAATCATCGTTATCTGTTTCAATTTCTGCCTTTAGAATCGCTGTGTCTTCTATAAATAATGTGCAATGATATATAATTCTTCATGGGGTATACACTGAGAAATTATGGTTAAAACATCTTAGTTGCTCCATACGTGACATAATTATCATTGATATTTACTATCAACTATTGTTCCGATCATTTCATCACACTGTTAACCTCTTGCGCTGAAATGGCGTGCCATGGCACGTCAAGAATTTCTTGTTCCAAAATTGTAATACTTTCTCAGTTAGTATATTTAAGTAAAACAAAATAGGCAAAATAAATAATAAGTTTATTACTTCTCAATAATATCTATCTAGTGATGTCATACCGACGAGTTCAGAAAGAAAAGCGACGAATTATCGTATACGGCTTGGTCACTCGTTATGGTCCGCAATCAGTTGCCAGCACAAGTGGTTAAAAATTCCGTACCTCGCGCCGATTCTCCTGTCTTCCGACGAATTAAAGCCATTTCCTTCCTGGTCGAAGGACCATAGTTAAACAAAGATCCACCGATCTGCCCCGGCTGATCCGTGATCCATCGAGAAACGATATCGTGTCAACAGATACGCGTTTCCCTTCCCCAGTTGCGCGATTTACCTTTTTTCTCCCCTGGCCTGCTTTTCTATATCCCGTCCGTGTACGTACATACGTACGTACGTATGCACTTGCACGCAGGAGGATGCTTGAAACAAGTGTGGGAACACACGAGCGTTTCAACTCGCGGCAAAGACTCGCGTAGGGAAAACGGTCATAATTTAACGGCCGATGACAGAAGGTAACGTTCCTTGACAGCAGTCACCTCGAAATTGACACCTGTCAACGTCACCTGCCGTCAGACGAGCTATCCGACTAGCGTGTGCATCGATAGCGTCGCGAAACAATATCGTTCTCAGTTATTGATTGATCGGTCGCGGACCCCCCCTCCCCCCTCCCCCCATCCCTCGCCCCGACCTCTGCGGATTTTTCCAGCAATTATTAGAAACATTTTTTCGCAGTGGCAGGCTTTTTCCAACGAAACGCAGTTCCGTTGTTCGAAATATGAAATGGATCGAGGAAAAAAAATAAAAAAAAAAAAAAAAAAGAATGAACGAAATAAACGCGTATCGACGTTTCCTGGAGGCGTTTTTTCGGATAGGGATCGACTTTTATGGAGAACCACGCGTTACCGAAATTGTTGCGCCCCCCCAACCTCCCGTCGTTGATTGTAGTTTGATTTGCGTGTCAGTTACATGCCATCCGGATTCTTCGTTTCGTTTTTCGAAACTCAGTGGATTTTGCATCGCGCGGCTCTTTGTAGCGCGACTTTTCAACCGCGAGAGTCGAGAGCGAAGACGAATGACCAGTAGACGAGTAAAAAAAAAGAGAGAGAGAGAAAGAGAGATATCTATTCAACGAAAAATATTTAGAAATTTATGAACGCGAGAGTGAATGGAGTGCAGGGATAGAGATGATGGACAAATACGCGCGCGGTCTTGATTAAACGATCAAAGTTAACAATTAAAATATAAATCATTATGCAAATAATCGGCGATGGACTTTATCATGCGCGTCGATCGGTAAATAATTCATTTCTCTCTTTGTCGAATAAAGTTCTCATTGTGCCGGCGCGTAACAAACGTGTAAAATTTCAGCCGAGATATAAAATCACCCTCTCTCTCTCTCTCTCTCTCTCTCTCTCTCTCTCTCTCTCTCTCATGCGTGCGCGCGAGCGGGTCAGCCGTATCGCGCGAACTTCGTTATTCACGCCCGGTGTGATTTATCTTCTGGTGATTTTGCGGCGGATCAAAATTAAAAATTACGACCGCCTGACGCGTGCGACCGCTGGAAATTTTCTACGAAATCTTTCACGAAACAGC